GGAACCTGCTGTCTCCAATGTTTCCATCACCAAGTCTATGACCATTAATTATACGTTGTGTGTTTCCAATTCACTGTAACAGTCATTTAAAGGGTCTACTGTTTAACTCTAGTAACACCATGGAACCACCATTTTTTCTCTAAGCTTTTACGTTTTGTTGCAAAGGCGTTCTATGTTTAGTTAACATAGGGAGACCGTCCACTGCAGACATTTGGTAGAATTGCACGGGGCAAAATCCGACGGGGAGGTGCCTGAACATATTGAAACGCATTGAAATGTGTATTGTTTTGCTTATCGTCAGATGCTTTTGCCAGGGCCTGCCCGTCCTATTGGGACGTCGAGATGGGGATACCCTGAGCTTTGGCAAGATGAAGGGTGATGCCTCTGACAAGAACATTGCCTGCATGCTTCAGGATGACAAGGCTGGGCAGGTGTCGCACATTGACGGCGCCAGGGTGATGTTGCAGTATGTTGCAGTCCTTTTTGGGGGGCATGAAAGACGGTTTTTGGGGGTGGCTTTGGCCTTCGGGACTAGATTTGGCGGAGTTCCTTTGTTGATGTCATTCCCGGTGAAGCTTCTGAGGTCACCAAAAAGTTCTTGAACAAGAGCGACCTCGCAGACTGGTGGGTGGAGAACCAGCCCCATCGTTTCCTCAGTGGAGGCCATTGCTAGTAGCTAGTAGGTTTGAGGCCAGTGCTAGTAGGTTGGAGGACTTGGTTAGAAGTCCTGCAACTCAGGTCGCGACGATGAGGGTAGCTTGGTGTAGTCTAGTTCTGCAATTGCTTCGGCAGTTGCTGTGGAACGTCGGCTTGCCATAAAATGCAACAAGAAGTTAGTTGAGCACAGCTATTGATTTGCAACTGCTTCAGTTGAGACCTTGGTGTCCATGTTCCACTCTGTCTTGAAGCCAAAGCGCGTGTTCCACGATGATCTCCTGGACTCCATTGATTATCTCTGTGTGACCCACAAATTTCAAGGGTCTGGCATTGAAAATAGAGAGCATGCCCTCGGTTAAGTGGCAAAGTCTGTCATTGCGCGATGCTGCCTCCACTTTATTGCGATGCCCTGAGGCTTTAGGTATATCGTGTCATGGTCACAGTCTCAACGCAGGAGACACGTGGTGACACATTCAAGCGGACAGCTGCGAAAATAACTATATACGTAGCGTTTTGCATCGGCAATTTCAAAACAAAACGCCAGGACGCTATATATAGTTGTGGAAAATAAGGTCCCATTGGTCAGCATTTCAAATCGAGAAGTGTACCAATGAACGCCGCCTCAAGCAGAGGCTCAGCGGTGGACCCTGGGTCGCGTCGGAAAAGTCCGATGCTGTGGTCCTTAGTGGTAGCGGAGCAATAAGCTCCAGGTAGATCCTTTTTGGTAGGTGGTTGGTTAGTTTGTGCCATGGCGGCTGATGGGCGCGCGCAGCCAGTTCCTCGCAGTGATGGAAGCGAGGATGCTGATGGTGGACCTGCTGGTTCAGGTCGAAGAGAGCCTCGTAGACGAGGCACTGATGAGTCCCCGGCAGGAGCTGGGATGTCCGATGATTTTGACAGTGATGAGTTCCGAGAGTTCTTGAGGATGAGAAGAACGAGGGGACGAAGTCATGGAGGTCGTCGAGAAGACGATCACGGAGGGCTTCGAGGAGAAGAAGATGGTGATTGGAAGGGCGGTGGAACCCATTCCAAACCGCCTGAATGGGATGGAGAAGCCGTCCCCTTTCAGGATTGGCTGATCAAGGCACGGCTGTGGCTCGCCACTACGAAGGTCCGAAAGAAGACCCAGGGTCCTATGATTCTTCAAGGACTTTCGGGAGTGGCATTTCAGACTTTCAAACATTGGGCAAAAGATGTCGAGTGGCTTCAGAATGAGGATGGTGGATTGGTTCTGCTTGAGGCCATGAACCTGCCAGAGAACTTCGGAGAGGATCGAGATGAAGACCTACTCAGCGCCTTGGCAAAAATTACTTACCACCTCCGTCGAGAACGGCATGAAGACCATCGAATGTTCTTCAATAGATGGGAAGAAGCACTTCGACGAGTCTCGGAACATGGAGTGGTGCTCCCCGACCAGTACAAAGGATTCCTCCTGGTGAACGCTATGGCTTTGAGTGAGCAAGACATCAAGGGACTTCTGAATTTCACCAGAGGAAGTATCGCCACCGAAGATGTGAAGGAATGGACAAGAAAACATGAGACGAAGCTCATGGTCAAAGAGGTTGGAACCGAAAGCCAGAAGAGAGGAAAAACTACCTCTGGGAAATCGTCTTCTTCGGCAGTGCACCATATGACCGCAGAGGAGACGGGTGACTTCCATGACGAGGACGAGATTTTGGAGGCGGTGCTGGAAGAACTGGATGGTGAGGAAGACGCCGCCCTACCAGATGGAGATCCAGAGGGAGAGGAAGAGCCTTTGGAGGAACACGAAATTCGAGAAGTGTTGAACACCATGTTCCAAAAGCGCACATTTAGCCAAAGCCTCAAACTCAAGAAGGCCAAGGAGTTGGCCAGGGGCTATGGAGGATGGAAAGGGTCCGGAAAAGACAAAGGCAAGCAGGGGAAGAGCAAGATCATCGACCAGATGAAGCAGAACAGCCGGTGTGCCATTTGTAAGAAGATTGGTCATTGGCATCGAGAATGCCCAGAAGGAAAAGGCAGAGGAAAGACTGGTCCAAAAGAGGCCCACTACCTGCAGAACATGGCGATGGAGGAGACGGAAGAGGCCTATTTCTGTGGGCACCAGGAAGTGGATCCGGAGTTACTTCCTGATGACCAGTTGGCAAAATTGAACGACGAAATGCTCTTCCGGTTGGCCGACCCGGAAGACCGTGAGCTGAAGGAGATCTATGGCGACCAGTATCGGCACTTTGAGGAGACCTATGACCCTGGTGATGAATGGTTTTGGCAAGATGCGACCGAGGTTGAGACGGACGTGAAGGAAAAGTCTTCGCTGATTCCTCCCTCGGTGGCCATGCCAACAACGACGCCGAGCCGAACTGAGCCAGTGAACGGGGAACACGATCCGGAGGGTCGTCTTTTTGATATGGTGTCCAGCTCCCACAATGTAGCTGGAGGCAAGCAGCATGTTCGATCCCGATACAAGGTCCAATGCATGGAGATTGGCGGGGGTATCGGTTCGCACACTCGTGAAGTTTTTTTTTCTGGGGATGATTTTGGTTTGCGGGGGAAAGCATCCGAGAATCATAAGAACCTAGAAGGCACGAGAGGGACACGACCAAAGACGAAGCCAACACGATCAGGACGATCAGACCAAGAAGACGGCTGCGCTACGATAGATACGGGGTGTCAGAGAATGGCAGTTGGGGCCGAAACCTTGTACCGTTTGGCGAAACAACTCCCTCAGGATATGATGATTGGCACTCTACCTCAAGAACATCGTTTCAGGTCGGTGAATGGTACATCGACAACCACCCACCTGGCATCGATTCCTACTAGTCTGGGCAACAAAGGCAGCATATTGCGTCCTGCGATCTTTCATGAAGGAGAATCTCGACAAGCTCCATTCCTGATCTCACTACCCTTCTTGCTGTATTGTCGGGCAGTGTTGTACTTGGATCCGCAAAAGGGGCTGAGATTGTATTTGAGAAGGTTTGCATTTGGGGTAGATTGCCACATTGGACCTACAGGAGCCCTAAGAGTACCTCTCAATCAGTTCACCACCGAGCAAATGGAAAGACTTCAAAAGGCTCATGAGCAACTTCAACACCAATCCACTGAGTTTGAGGTCATGAAGATGACGATGAAAGAAAGTTTCGGCTCGAACCACGAGGAACAAGAATCGCGCCCAAGATCAGAAGACCCCTCGGTTGAAAGCGGCCATGAAGCGCAGCCGAATCGAGGAGAGCCAGTACATGAACGTGTGGGTGCGAATGGTGATGAAGCTCCTCTTCGCGATGATTCGACTGACCGAACTCTCGATCCGATTGGTGATGGGAGAGAAGCAGATGACCGATGTCGAGCCGGACGAGGACTGGGAGGCAGTGGAGACGGAGCCTGCTTCGCCGTACAATCTGTGGCCCAATCCGGGAGTGCAGAGGAGTCCACAGTCGATCCTGTCCGAGACCCGGTCAACTCGGACCCAGACCACCAACAAGCAGTCTCCGAGCTACACTCCTTCATCGGGATCAGAGACGCAGTACCCGAGGCCGAAGGCCTTCCCACAGGTCAAGTCCAAGGAAGTGGCCGATTGGGAACACCTACACCTCAAGTCCAAGGAGAAGGTCGACCTGGAACAACTCAAAATCGACTTCGAGAAAAGGAGAGAGGAGTGCAATCACAAGAAGACCACTCGAAAAGGAACGAACGCCTTCGTGGAGATCGAGCGGTGTCTGACATGCGGAAAAACATTGAAGTCCGAGAGAAAGGACAACGGGGAGAAGGAGAAGGTCAAGAAGGAACCTCCCTCAAACGAGAAGGCGGACTCGGAGATCGAGGAGGAGAAGCAGGACTACCAGGAGTTCATGGAATTCCAGAAATGGAAAGCGAGCAAAGACAAATCGAAGAAGCACTTCTCGAACAAGGCATGAAGGCCATGGGAGAATGGAGAGCACTGAGCGAAAAGAACCAGAAGGCCATGATTGCTTCCTTAGAGATAGCAGAGAACTATGTGATGGAGATTATGAACCTTCTCAAAAATGAAGAGCCAATTTGTGCAATTGAAAAAGAATTTGAGCATATCCGGTCCAACACGCAAACACAGAAGAAGTATGCTAAGATATAAAGGGTTCTCCGAAGGCCGTCGTCGAGATTTTCAATCCACATCGATTTGCACCCCATTGCAACCGGTCAGGACTTTTGGCAGCAGCAGCTTTCGATCTGGAACTGGGGCATGAACTACTCCAACCAAAAGTTCGAGAGCAAGTCAAGAACTATATCAAGGAGGTACGGCCTGGACTGGTGATCCTGTCTCCACCCTGCACCTTGTTCAGCGTCATGCAGAATATGAACCTGGTGAAGCGGGACTTCATAAAAAGGCTTCGAGAAGCCAAGGTTCTCCTGAGATTTGCGGTGAAAGTGATCGAGGAGGTGATCAACTACGGAGGAGTGTACCTGTTGGAACAGCCACTCACGTCCAAGGCATGGATGGAGACGGTCCTACAACAGATCATGAACCGAGAAGACTGCATTCTGGCTCAATGTGACCAATGTCAGTATGGCCTTCAGGATTACCATGGAGGCAAGATGAAGAAAAGCACTGGATGGATCACCAACAGTCCGCAAATAGCCAATCGGCTAGACAAGAAATGTGATGGAACCCACGAGCACACTCACGTGTTGGGATCAAGTGGAGGACAAAATCGATCTACACAAGCACAGATCTACCCAAGGCCTCTGATTCAAGCCATACTGGATGGCTACCGTGAAGAAATACAACGTCAAGGACATCCCAAAGTGAGCGAGCAGATGCAATGGATGACGATGGTGGACTGTCATCACCTCGAAGATCGAATACGACAATACGAAAACCTTTGGAAATGGTTCATAGAAGAAGAGAAGGAGAAGATTCACCTGGTTCAAGCTCTGGAAGAAAAACAGGAAGAGGAAGATGAAAATGAAGATGAAGAAGGAAAGAAATGGCTCCCTCGAGAACGCCCCTTTTCCCTCGAACAACTGGTACGTCGAGCACACGAGGGACTTGGACATCCGGGCAATGATAGGTTGGCCCGAATACTCCAAGGAGGAGGAGCTTCGAAGAAAGCCATTGAATATGCCAAGAAGTTGACGTGTTCAGTATGTCAGCAGCATCAATTGGTTCGACCACCTCGAGCAGCAGCTCCACCAAAAGAATTACCTCCGAACCATACAGTTGGTATTGATACCATCTGGCTGCCAACGCCCGGAAAGAAGAGGCGAATGGCGCTCAACATTGTATGTTGGGCTACTCGATTTCAGATGGTGATCCCTCTTCGAAGTCACACTGCACCAGACGCCCGAAGAGCCTATCTGGAATGGGTGAGGTTCATGGGAGTGCCCCAACGATTGTTCACAGACCTCGGAAAAGAATTCTGTTCAGCATTCCAAGATGGCGCGGAACTTGATGAAACGCTCGTAGAACCAAGTGCCTTGGAAATGCCCACACAAAGGGCCATCACAGAAAGAGCAGGGAAAACCTTCAAAGAAATCTTGGAGAAGGCGATGGATAACTATGCCACACAGTCGGAATCGGAGTGGAGAGATTTGGTGGACATCGTGAACATGACGGTGAACCGCCTGACCAACAAGTCCGGCTATTCTCCCTGCCAGAGGCTATTGGGATATACCCCAAAGATGCCAGGAGGATTACAGTTTCTTACTGAAGAAGAGAAGAAGGAGAGACAATGGGCCAATCGAGGAGACCTACAGATGCAAAGAGCGCAAACGATGAGATTGGCGGCAGCAAAAGCATTTCATGAAATTGAATGCCAACAAGCCATGAAGAACGCCATTCACCATGGCCGGAGGAGTATCAAGGACTTCGAAGTGGGGCAGACGGTATACTTCTGGAGAAGAGCACCAGGAGATAAAGCAAGCAAGGAAAGCACAAGGTATTGGAGAGGCCCCGCAAAGGTCGTATTGACTCCCCGCCTGGTGCTGTCTGGATTAACTTTCGCAGACACATTGTCAAAGCAGCACCTGAACAATTACGGCACGCAAGCATGGAGGAGCATCAATCATTGTCTTCATGGATGGAGGGATTGTCCCACCTACGGCAGATCATTGAAGAAGAACCGAAGGCAGGCTACATCGACCTGACGAAGGAATATAAGGAGGAGGACTTCGAAGATGAAGAAGAAGATATACCGTTAGAGTCAAGAGACTCGAGAAAAGAAAAGCCGAAATACAAAATTGAAGGTAAAACTGAACGAAAAGATGTGGTGATGAGAGAGGAGGAAGATGAATGGCTGTGGAACGAGGCCAAACAAACGCTGACGCGGTTCCATCTACAATATCGACAACATCTCTTCAAGCCGACAGATGTGTCTGATTGCCCAGTGGACTACAACAAGCTAGGACCGCAGAGGAGAACGACGATGTACTTTGAAGATGGATCTAGCAAAGAAATCGTCGATGATTGGCACGAGGAAGCTCAACCAGTCCACAAACGGTGGAAAGGCAGAACCGAATTTCAAATGATGATTGAGAAGTTCGCCTGGGAGAAGGGAGAGCCGGAAGCGGAGGAGACTACGAGAATGACGAGTCCTACGGTTTCCTTATCAGGAACAACAACAGAGGAAGCGAAAATCGGTCTCAAGAGAGGAGCTGGAGAAGATGAAGAGAACAATGAAGGTCTTGAGAAAAGGGCAAGAACTGAGACAGTGGAAGACCAAAAGAAGGAGGAGGAGCCAATTCGAGGACTATCTCGACCCTTTGAAATCGATGGAGAAGATCAAGAGCAGATACCCAAAAGACAACGAATCGACTGGTTTGAAGTGATGATCAACACAGTGATGCCAGTCATGAAGAAGCCGAAAGGACAGAATGAGATCAAGCTCAAGCAATTGCTGGATGAAGCTAAAACCAAATACTACAAAGCAATCAAGAAGGAGATTGACAACAACATCAAGACAGGAGCTTATGAGATTCTCTCACCAGAGGCATCAGAAGAAGTCCGGCGAGCTGGACACAATATCCTTCAGTCTCGCTACGTCTTGGTGGAGAAACGAATTGAAGAAGATGAGGTACCAGCAATGCAAGAAGAAGGAATTCTACTGAGGACCGATGAACACGGAGGATTCAAGGCCAAAGCTCGACACGTGATGAAAGGCTTTAGCGAACCGGACTCTGAATGGTTGGAAGCCGCGACTCCACAGGTAGCACCAGAAACAGTCCTACTTATTCTACAAACGATAAGCTCATCAAGGTGGACGCCTGGGTATTTGGACTTCACTCAAGCCTTTCACAGCGGAGACCCCATTTCGAGGTTGCTTTTTGCGGAAGTACCACCAGAAGGAATCCCAGGAGTACAAGAAAGACAACTTTTGAAGCTGAAGAAACATTGCTACGGCCTCTTGGACGGTCCTTATCAATGGTATGTCCATCTGCAAAAGATACTGACTCAATTGGGCTATGAACAATCACAGGCCGATCCATGCCTATACTTCCTGTTCGATACTCCAGAAGCAGCAGATAGAGATGAAGAAAGTGAGAGACGACTAGAAGGAATTATTGGAGTGGCAACGGATGATTTGATTCATGGAGGAGGACCACGTCATTGGCAACAAATGCAATGGATTCAACAGCACTACAAGTTGGGAAAGTTCACAAAAGGAGATGGAAGATTTGTGGGAAAAGAAATCAACTGTCTTCCTGATGGAAGCATCAAAGTACATCAAAGAATGTACGTACAAGAAAAGATCAAGCCAATCGAGATCCCAAAAGAGCGAAGGACTCAGAAGTATGCGTTATGCACTCCGGAAGAGACTTCATCATTGAGGACTGCTTTGGGATCACTTGCTTGGTTAGCCAAAGAAACAAGACCCGACTTGATGGGAAGAGTATGCATTCTTCAACAGTGCATGCCACATCCCTATGTGAGGGATATGCTGGAAGCGAACGCCTTGTCCAAGGAGGCCATGGAAGAGGTTGAGACGGGCATCGTCTTGAGGCCCATTCCGATGAAGGACATCCGAATTGGATCAGCTTCGGATGCAAGTTGGGGAAACTCACCTTGCCAGGAGCTCGAAGGAAAAAGCGAAGACTTCTGGGAAGAAAAAGATGAGTTATGGATCCGACATCATGTCCAAGCAAGACATATACTATTTCACCCAGGAGCGGCATATGGAGGACCACAACTCCATGAGATAGAGGAAGAACGGGCCACTTGGATTGACGGTGAACTGTTCGAAGACACCTGGAATAGAAGGAATGATGTGAAAAGACATGGATCCTCTGAATGGAAAGGACACACCGTGTTCGTCAAGAAGAAGAGCTCCAAAAAGATCGAAATTCATGAACGATTCCTACAAGTTGGAAGAACACACAGTCAAGGAGGACACATAGTGTTTGCATACCACAAGAATTTAGAGACAGAGCAAACACCACAACCCATTTCAGTGCTGAGTTGGAAAAGTTCGAGATTGAAAAGACGTACGGTCAATACATTGGCAGCGGAAGCACAAGCAATGGTGCAGGCCGTGGGAGCATCCTATTGGATTAGATTTTTGTTGGCTGAGATCAAAGGATTGAAGATGAGTTTGCAAAATTGGCAAAAGCAGATCAGCCGAACTCCCTACATGACGGCCACGGATTCCAGATCGCTGTTCGACAACTTGACCAGATCCACCAACGTGGCAGCACACATAGAGGACAAGCGCACCGCGATCGACTTGGCCATTTTGAAGAATGACATGAACACGACTCGAGGACAGACCCGGTGGGTGCCAGGTTCGATAATGATCTCGGATAGCTTAACTAAGAAGGGGCCTTCTACTTTCTTAAGGGGAGTTCTTCGTATCGCATGTTGGACCTTGTTTGAGCTTGGAGCTAAAAAGCTTCAAGAAATGCTGACCAAAAGAAGTTGGGACCGATGTGGAAAATAAGGTCCCATTGGTCAGCATTTCAAATCGAGAAGTGTACCAATGAACGCCGCCTCAAGCAGAGGCTCAGCGGTGGACCCTGGGTCGCGTCGGAAAAGTCCGATGCTGTGGTCCTTAATAGTATATTGCTTGTAAGATAGAAAAGTCGAAGCCTTTCGTTGAGTGGCCGTGTGCATGGAGACCGTGGAACCAATGCAGAGTTCTTTCAAGTCATCACCTCAGAATGCGTTCTTATCTGTGTTTCTGGCATTTGTATGGACGGTATAGCTTCGTTTTTGCTTGAGCCGCTTTGGAATTGTTGTGAATTGGGATGGCATGAGTCGTTTTGCTCAGGGACAAACCTTTCAACATTATGGCTATCCAGGACTTCGCAAACTTTAGCCGTGTTGTTTCTTCTTGTTGCTGACATCGACGACGTTCTTGCCAACTTGCCTTGACTTGTTTCGTTAAGGTCGCTTCACGTCTGAAGGAGCTATTGGGCGGAGCGTTTCTTCGGATGGATCAAGGTGACCCTGAAGGAGCATTGCCTGAGCTCCAAGTTCAGAGCGTGAACGGAGCGAACGCTAGCCGCTACACACAGTTGATGAAGTGTGAACTCGGTCTTTGCGTGTCAGGAGAGCCATGCGTTTCCAGTAAATGTTCCGAACTGTAGGTCTTGTGCCTTGCAGGCTCTCCGGATTAGTGCTGGATGCTAAGTTTCTTCAAGCTTGATAGGAAGCAGATTGATTATGCCAAGGGTTCTTTCAGTAAGGGTGGGGGGGGGGTTGTGTCCCTAGAGTAGATTGGCCTACCAACTTCCTTGCCCCAACCCCTCTCAGCCTCCCCACTGCTGTTCTTTATCACGCTTTAGGCTGGCCCAGAGGCAGCCGCTTGGAGTGCTGCTCGACGAGACACCGCGTTGCAGGCAGAGTAGACGCGGTTGTTGAAGTGTTAAAACTCAAGATTTTTTGGCTCAGCCACAAGTGGGAAAGAGTTATGGATAAAGCCAGATACAACGGCAGCCTCAATCACAGCCTTTCCACCCCAGATGCGTTGCCTCTTTTTGAGTTATGCTCGTGTTGTGTGGGGCTCCAAGCCCCTCATTCATCGCAGGTCTGTCGTACAATTCTAGAGCGTGGAGGCATCTTGGTCGAGAGGCTCGCAATTCTGAAGACTGAGCAGACATGAAAAGGCATCGCTTCTAGTAACAAGTGCCTTACTAGTAGTAACAAGAAGCTACTAGAAACAAGTGCATCGCTTCTAGTAACAAGACTGAGCGGACATGAAGGCTTTGTTGCATTCTGAAACCCAAAGGAACTCAGAGGACTGAGGACCAAAAGGTTTTGCTCCGTTCGTAGCGATGCCCTTTGCTCCTAGTAGCTTCTTGTTACTAGTAGTAAGGCACTTGTTCCTAGTAGCGATGCACTTGTTCCTAGTAGCATTCCTAGGACCAAAAGGTTTTGCTGTGAGAGTTTTGTGCATATCCTTCATGGTGGATTGCGCGAGGGGGCACGAAGCGGTACTCAAGCAGACTTTGCAGGCGGGCAGATGTTTTCGCGCCATACTTTCCATTGCTTCCTCGAAAAAAGCGCTGCTTGGATGGATATTGACATTGTATTTTGGGACATTTATTCCTATCGATGCACGTTTGCCAGGATGGGTCATCAGTGATATGCACTCGCTGTGGTGCGCTAGTTGCTTGGTCGAGGGCAGAGGCGCTTGAGACATCAACGTTGCTTTATGTTGCTTTATGAGGTGACGGCTTCCAATCTACTGGCGATGCCCTCCAACCTAGTTAGTAACGATGGCCTCCAGCCTACTAGCGATGACCTCCAACCTAGTGGCGATGGCCTCCAACCTTAGTGACGATGGTCTCCAGCCTACTAGCGATGGCCTCCAACCTAGTAGCGATGGCCTCCAGCCTACTAGCGATGGCCTCCAACCTGGTAGCGATGGCCTCCAACCTAGTGGCGGCAATGGCCTCCAAACATAGTAGCGATGGCTTCCAGCCTACTAGCGATGCCCTCCAACCTAGTGGCAATGGCCTCCAGCGTACTAGCGATGGCCTCCAACTGTATGAGGTGATGATTAATCATCGAAAAAGGGTCCGGATGCTGTTTTGGTGATGCATTCGGCCAGGCCCACCGGGCCATATGGTGTTCGAGCTTGGGAGATCAGGCTATGGTAGTGTATGGTTATCCAACATGCATCAACATGACAATTAGTTGGACCGGTCGCAGGTCGCGGAAACAGATGCAGCCCCCGGCATCTCGGCTTAAAGATGTTTAAAGCCTTTACAAAGGCACAACTTAGAGAAACAGAACGGCAAGTCTCAAAGGTCTCCAAGAAAGGGACAACCCTTGGACGCCGCCCAGCGCACCTGGTCATAGATCAGGGTTCACACTGAGACTGCGTTGACTCGATTCCTTGTCAAGCGATCTGAGGTGATGCTTCCAATGATGACATGGACATTGATTACGGAGCTCCAACGGGACGCTAAACTTCTATGATTTCTATTGATCAATGTTCTCAGATTCCTTTTGTCAAAGTTTGAGACCACGTGGCCAAAAAGTGGCTAGAATGTCTGAATTCATCCAATGGTTGCACTCATGGAGTGGACATCAATGCAAATCCATCAGATAGAAAGAAGTGCTTGCAAGTCGGCGCAATTGAGATACACCCTGCATGCTTGCCAGTCAGTCGCGACAAGAGTTCAATTGTCGATTTATGCGTATGACATCATGTGATTGTCTAAACTGTGGTTATTTCTGTTCGTCGTGGGGTATGGTGGAGACCACAATCCATGGCGCCACCGCGGTTCAGTGCCCCGAGGGCAGTAGGGACCGGTCAGAAGTTGCGAGTGCTTGAGGCGACGCAACATGGTGTTTGGTGAACTCTCCTGGACAAATCCGCAAGGTACACAAACGTGCTGAGCTTCTTGGGACACAACGCCCCACCGAGTCACGCGATGGGAGAGACCTGGGACGGATATCTGAAGGAGGCTCAAAAATTGGAGCATCCCTTCAGATCAATGACTGATCTCAAGGACACACCATCGGGCCCTACGAGACGCTTCCACAACAGACAATCTGCGCAATGAAGAACGCCTCAAAACATTAAATCCTTAAGTCGATGAATGAGACATGACCTGCAAAACCTCACAATGGTGGATGCTGAGGGCCACTTCAACCTCACCCAGCTTTCAACATACCTTCTTTCCGTTCTATCCATTTGTCAATATATTTGTCTATCTATCTATCTATCTATCTCTCTCTCTCTCTCTTTCACTATCTCTCTCTATCTGCACTTCCAAGTTCACAAAATACTTCACCTTACACGAAAAAATAAAACAACAAAAAAGTCCAAGTAAAATCTGAACCCCTTTCATTTCAATCAATGATTCATTGACCAAGATTTTGGCTCTTTGCATAATAAAGTACACCATTGTTCAAGATGTAGCTCTCTACGCGTCTCAGCACGCGCTAGCTTTCACCCAGGTTGTTTTGACAACACCGGCTCGCCAGCTTCATTGAGTGAGTCTGTCAGTCTTCTTGGCAAAGCGAACTAAAACTCCCAGTGAACGTCTCCAGTGAGCTCCGAGATCGCCGATGGCTTTGGGCCGCTTTCGACGAGCAGCAGGCCGAGAAGGCCGCGGTTGGATGGGGTTCGTCCTTTCGGGAAAAAAAGAGCACGTCGCTTGCTGAGGCACAATTTTTGTACCTCCCATCTCTCCTTTTTCCCGGCCCTGACTTTCGGATAGAGATATACGGAATGTAGAGAGAGAGAGAGAAATAGAGAGAGAGAGAGAGGGGGAGGATTTAGGTGAAGCAGCTTGGCCTTGCGGGGCGTTGAAGTCAACGTTTGAAACCACAAATTAGGACCGTCCTTAATGTGAGGGTTGGCGAGCACCACTGTAGTTTGCAAGACGCCTGTAATCAGTGAGGGTTGTGACCTCACGCAAGGTAAGGCCAAAGTGATTTTTTGTACTGAGTTTACTGCTTCCCATGGCCACCCGCTTCCCATCTCCTCTCCTCTCCCATCTCTCCTCTCCCATCTCCTCTCCTCTCCCATCTCTCCTCTCTCCTCTCCTCTCTCCTCTCCTCTCTCCTCTCCTCTCTCCTCCCATGCGCATGGTTCCGCCAACAGACTCGCAATCAAGTTGTTCAGCTTGAGCCACCTGCGGCCGAAGATGGCCTCCATCTTAATAGCGATGGCCTCCAACCTAATGGCCATGACCTCCAACCTACTAGTGGCGGCCTCCAACCTACTAGCAACGCGCTTGGAAACACCGTCCGGACACGTAGACCAAGAACCGAACGCCAGCAATATGCCGTGGTTGTTTTTTGCCTTTTGGCCATCAAGTCTCAAAGTGCTAAAGGCAGTTGATATCCAGTATCCAGTCAGTAAATCACCATGCATCCAGTATGCCTGGATCTGCCAATCAGTGTTTGTCAATGTTGGGTAAATAGATGATATGGTCAGTCAGTAAATCCACCATTCTTTTGGACAGAAAGTGGTGCAACTTTCACCTCCGACACGGCGCCTGAAGAGGTGTGCGGCGGCGCTCGCCTGCATGGCCTACGCGAACTGCCTTGGACATGGAGGCATGCTGTGGACCAACACCTGAAACACACATAGGGCTGGAGCGTTGACCAAGTTGAGGGTCTTGATTTACTACAGGTATGTACAATGTAGACTCTTCATTTATAGCCCTGCTGCAGGATTGTAAACTCATTAATTAGTCACCACAGTCAACATCTCCCAAACGAGGTTTGACCCATACGTACCCGGGGGGCGACCACTATCGTGGTGATACTTCACCGGGTGGCTGAACTTTGGAGTGTTCCCTTCAGGGCGATCCACCCCTCCATCCTCCACGTACATCTTGCCCCTCAAAACGATTCTGAAAATGACCCTCTCTCTCCATCCACCAAAACCCCACGCAGAACTGTGAGGGGGGGCGTTTATTAATCCGGTGTCGAGATTACTGTAACTTAGTAGCGACGCACTTGTTACCCCAAGTTTTGGTTGTTTTATGTGAACCCGGAACCAAACGACATCTTGGCGTGCCAGTGCCATCGAGCCTTTGAAACCACTGTAACAGTTGCATTGGATCAGCTCTTTCTGGGTGAATGTGGGGTCCACAACTCACCAGAGAGCCTCTTGGAAGCGCAACCATCTGATCCTCGACCTTCGCATCTTCCAGGGCCTTCAGCCCATGAGACTATGTTTCTTTCGATGTCCCCTCTGAAGCCGCCATGGTCCTACCAAAAAGGAAAGCCCTGGTCAGAGCGTTGGGCTCATAACCCTCTTCACAAAAATCCGCTGTCCTTTTCTCGCTCGATATACAAAACTACCCGCCATTTTCGTACATTTTTTATTTTTTTGATTTTTTTGATATTCAATGGTTCAAGGCTGAAGCCTCAAAGAGAATCAGCCCATGGAACCCCAAAGTGAGAAAAACAAACCATCCATCATACTTCAACCTACGCTTCAAATTCCTACTTCCCACTAGATGCTCCAACTGAGCTTTCAACTTTCTTGATTCCTTTCACCCTCAATGCCCTTCTCTTGAGCAGCTGCTGCGGTGCGCTGCCTCCATCAGCGAACCCAAGGCCGGATGTGGGGAGAAGTCCATCACTTATTTCCAGCATCTTTTAAAATGTGTACCCTATCTAGAGCCAATCCTCATTAAAAGATTCCCAGTCTACCAGCCTATGGCCCTTGATTTTCATGTAACCTTTCACGGGCTGGAAGCAAGTGACACCAGGCAGCGGCTTATTGGCTTTGCGGCTGCACGTCAGCTTCTTGAATTAAAGGCGCTGGTGTGGAGGGAGTGTGGATGTTAGGCTATGTTTTGTGGAAAGGCTGAGCCTACTTTATTCTTTTGAGGCCTGCGGGTGCCACACTCAACCGTTTCCAGAGATGATGTCCAACCCATGGCAAACCCACACAGACACACTTGACAGGCGGCTGGCTGCTGCGGCTCTTCGGCTTTGCGGCTCTTCAGCTTCTTGGGTAGAAGGCGCCAGGGCCAGGGCTCTGTCAGGGGATGCTTGGTCGATCGCAGCTGGGAATTGAATGGGTTTTGTTGGTTATTTGCACTAAAGCTGGCAGGGGCCTCCTTTCTTGCAGCCCTCGTCGCCAACCGCCGGGGCCTGAAGTTCCCGGACGGTGAAGCAAAATTTTCAGCAGCATGTTGGGCTCAATAGCTTTGTAGTTGCCTGGAACAGGAGACACTATTTTTTTATGGTGTTAGGGACGACAAGTTCAAACATTGACCGTTATGCTATGTCGTTCAGCCAGAAACCCGGCCAAGGCGTTTCTTCTTGCAGCTCCTTCGTGTGGAGGCCAACCGGGCTTGAGAGTTGGAAGGGTTCGATTTCCGCCTGCATGCAGACTGCAGAGTTTTATGGCTGAGACTGAGGCAGTTGCTATAGGCTCAACGGCTCTTTGCGGCTGTTTTTGAATTTACATGTTGCATCCAAAAACCAGGTCAGCAGTTCTGGAAAGTTTAATCTGTTTAATGGTATTGAAAGCCGAGTACAACTAGCTAGATGTTCTTCCCTGTTGACCTGCATCACCAGAGCCATTGCTGCTAGCCTCGGCACCCTTGAGAGGCTCGGAGGGAAGTTGCGGTTTGCTTTTCAACTGGCCCGACGATGGCCTTTGGCTTTCTGTTGAGTCTCAACTCATTGGCCACCAGTTCACCACTGGCTGGCTTGAATTAGATAGCGGCCCCACCTCTCGGGCACAGGCTTCAGCGGCTCCTCGGCTATTTCACTGCGGTCAGAAGGCAGCCCATCTATCATTCCGCATTTGGTCGTGTGGGTGAAGACATGAAGACATTGGGCCAGGTATGTTGAATAGCTTGATTCAGATTGTTTCAGTCTTGGATTGAAACACTGGCTTGGGGGTGTTTGTGTGGTACCAATGTCACTTGCAGGCTTCGCCGCTGTCATCGTTGTCTTTTCCTTCAGCAGAGGCAGCGCCGCACTAGATGTTTAAGAGAGTGTGTGCGTGGCTCCTTGCTTAGCACCCCTGTTCTTTGAATGTGGTAGCCCCAGAGATTATTCCAAGCCCAGGCACCCAAAAAACGATAACCTCAGGCCCAGGCGTTTGGCGCTTCACCTGCTGTCACTGCTCCCCTGGCTTTGAGAAGGCAGGGCGACGGGACACTTCAAGTGTCGAGTTTGTTGGGCAGGGCCCACCGACGTCCAACTGTTTAATAAAGCTGGAAACGCAATAGTATTAGAGCGGTCCATCGCACAAATGCTCTGTGTTTCTCAGCGGCACTTCGGCTCAGCGGCTCTTGGCTTTTTGCTGTTTGGCTGCTGAATGTTTGGTGCTTTGCGCCGTGTCGTTGGGGGTCGCCCTGAGCCAGAGTCTTCAACTTCCTCGTCCTCAGACGAGATGGCAGCGGCGCAGGGACCACCACGAGAGATGGGCCCACCTGCTGACGACAGCGCAGGCAATGGTGGCAATGGTGGTGGAGCAGAC